CCTCCCTCCCTCCCTCCCTCTTTTCTTTTCTTTTCTTTTCTTTTCTTTTCTTTTCTTTTCTTTTCTTTTCTTTTCTTTCTCTTTGTCTATATGTCCCAAAGGAGCTTTTTCAAGAGGCAACTGGACTTCCTGGTTTTTCTTTGAAGACATTTCACTTTTCATCCAAGAAACTTCTTCAACTCTGATGGAGTTTTTCTTTTCGTCAAAGAAAAACCAGAAAGTCCAGTTGCCTCTTGAAAAAATCATCCTTGGGACAATCATGACTGTATGATTGAGTCTCCATAGATCGATCTATCTATCTGTCTGTCTATCTATCTATCTATCTATCTATCTATCTATCTATCTATCTATCTATCTATCTATCTATCATTTATCTATCTCTTTATATATCATATTTATATCTGTATATCTGTATGTGTATCTATATAGATAGATATCTCTATATATCTCTTTCTATTTCTATCTCTATCAACTGTCTTCCTTTCCATCTTTCTATCTACCTTATCCTTATCTCTACTGATCTATAGATCTATTCATTCCACATGCTGTCTTTTTTTTATAACAACCAGCAAATAATAATATGCAAAAACACAAACCACATACCTTGCTCATCATAAAGGTTTGGTTCAGAACTTGCCAAATTTGATCATCAGTGTGGTTCAGAAGAGGATCTAAGTTGTATCTGCAAGGCAGGAATTGGTAGTTTGGAAAAAATGAAGTGTTCGCTCCAAGGATAACACAACTCTAACGTTATTTGTAGGCTGTCCTAGTGCATGTGATTATTTTGCAAATCTGATTAAATGGAAACTGTACTAGGCAGGTCCCAGGAGTAGAATCTTTGGATGGCTAAAGTTGGACAATGATGATGATGATGATGATGATGTTATCCGTTCAGTCGTGTCCGACTCTGGGCAATTCTGCAGGCCAGATCTCTCCACATCTTCTGAACTTCCACGGCTTCTTTGAGTTTTTTCTATACTCTGGCTGGTATCAGTTAGGCCAGGGGGTCTCAATCTTGATTTCATTGAGGGACGCATCAGGGTTGTGTTTGACCTTGGGGGCCAGGGTGGGCGTGGCCAGCTTAACATCACTCATGTTGCGGGTGCCTGTGGTGGCCCAAGTGCTCCGCCAGCAAAAACAGGCTGCTGCTTTCAGCTGCGACAGCCTCCTGCATCCCTCTGCCAGTGAAAACGGAGCTTACTCATGCCCCCCACCGGGCCCCATTTTTGCTGGTAGAGGCACCACGAGCCGGTCCTTTGGTGTTTCCAGGGCAGCCCCATTGCCAGATCTAAGCACCCTGTGGGCCGGATCTGGCCCTCAGCTGGGCCTTGAGTTTGACACCCCTGAGCTAGGCTATTTCGTAAATTAGTATAAAACATTGCCTCTGTTTTTTTTCACTTACACTGTATACTCTTCAGAGTGAGAGTGAGTGAGAGAGAGAGAGAGAGAGACCCAACGTTGACATAAGTCAAAAGAGCTAATAGGAGTTTGGAGTCTCCCTGAACCCCCCAAAAAACCCCAAACCACCAAGTTTCCAATCCTTTGCTGTTCCTGAAAGCGAATGCTGACAACCATGTGGCTTTCTGGGATATTTTTCATCGGGATATTGAAAACCACCTTACGTCCCAGTTTGAGTTGAAATAGCCTTTTAAGTGCACCCTGGTTTAGCATAAGAAGATCCTGCGGCAATGATTCATTGAAAAGCCACGGTGGTGCAGTGGTTAGAACGCAGTACTGCAGGCTACTTCTGCTGACTGCCGGCTGCCTGCAATTTGGCAGTTAGAATCCCACCAGGCTTAAGGTTGACTCAGCCTTTAATCCTTCTGAAGTGAATAAAATGAGGACCCAGATTGTTGGGGCCAAGAAGCTGACTCTGTAAAACACTTAGAGAGGGCTGTAAAGCACTCTAAAGCAGTACATAAGCATAGGGCTATTGCTATTCCTTCCTTCCTTCCTTCCTTCCTTCCTTCCTTCCTTCCTTCCTTCATCCCTTCCTTCCTTCTGTGGTGGCACAGTGGTAAGAATGCAGTACTGCAGACTAACTCTGCCCACAGCCAGGAGTTTGATCCTGACCGGCTCAAGGTTGACTCAGCCTTCCATCCTTCCGAGGTGGGTAAAATGAGCACCCAGATTGTTGGGGGCAAGAAGCTGACTCTGAAAACCACTTAGAGGGAGCTGCAAGGCACTCTAAAGCAGTACATAAGAATAGGGCTATTGCTATTCCCTTCCTTCCTTCCTTCCTTCCTTCCTTCCTTCCTTCCTTCCTTCCTTCCTTCCTTCCTTCCTCTTCCTTTCTTCCTTCCTTCCTTCCTTTGTCTCCCCTCCTTCCTTCCCTCCCTTCATGTCTTCCTTCCTTCCTTCCTTCCTTCCTTCCTTCCTTCCTTCCTTCCTT